TATTACTTTTTCATTGATAACGAATATAATGCAGAGATCGAAGCCGATTTTTTCGGCTTAACTCAATTTTTGATTTTTTTGATAGAAAAAAGCCATTTCACATCCATTTCAAGTATTTAAATTGAACTTTACATGCTTTACTATGATTCTGTGTAATATTTTGTCAGCATGTAGCTATAGGAAGCTCAGAATTTCAATTTAGTCGATAATAAGCCGATCGGCTTAAATTTCGGCTTAAAATCGGCTAAATTGAAATTCTGAGCTCACTATAGCTACATGCTGACAAAATATTACACAGAATCATAGTAAAGCATGTAAAGTTCAATTTAAATACTTGAAATGTGAGTTAAATAGCTTTTTTCTATCAAAAAAATCAAAAATTGAGTTAAGCCGAAAAAATCGGCTTCGATCTCTGATATAATGTAATCATTTTTAAAGTTGTCAATCAACTCGTTTCTTTATTATTGGTATATTTTTTTCTGTAAAAAGAAATTTTTTGCGCTGCAATTCGTATTGAACTTTATAGTTGGCATTACTCTGTGAAAGTCAAATTTTGGTACTTTAATCTTTTTCGAGAACCAAGCAAGTTTCTTAGTTTTCTAAAGATTCATGATAAATAAAAGAAATAAAATCCAAGTAAAGATAGTAATTACAGAATCTATTTTCACTCATAGTAAGAACTGTTTGAAACATGAATGGATAATGATCAGAAAAATTCTTGATTTTTTCAATGCACTTGTAATTAAAAGTATAAACAGAAAAGAAATAACGAAGAGAATTTTCAGTACTGTTACTGCTCACATTTTACATTAATTTAGGAAAGTAATATTTTATAGAAAAATTAAATGAAGAAATGTAGAAAATATAACTCATAATGCTCTTCAATTAATTCTAATGAATGCTAAATTATTGAGAAAAATTTCCTGGAAATGAACTTCAAGAAAGTTGTGAGTGTGTTTTTGAAGATTATAAACAGAAAAATTTAAGTACATTATAACCTCCAAATTTGAGTGTATGGATTCAATTGGATATTTAAAAAATATCAAACTTTTTTGAAAACTAAATGTAAATGTTTAAGACTTTTACAGTATGCAATGAGTATTGTAAAACTCATCAACAACAAATTTGCCAAAATCTGCGACAGTACATAAACCACAAAAATAAGAAAAACGAATAACAGCACATCATCATCATTATAGCTTATTATAATTATTTTATCATATACGCCATTTCATTTTATTCATTTCAAGAAAAATAGGCATACATCATGACATAAAGAAGACACAATACAAAAATCAAGTAGCAACATTTGTATTAACCACGTGCAAACAGCGCATAACATGATGTCTAGCAAGTATTTTGCTTTACCGAACAAAAATGTTGATAAAGACACTAATGAACATTAAAATATAAATGGAAGTTTAGAAGAGGATCATAGCAAAGAAAAATAAGCGAATGGCTAGCCAATATCCTAGTAAATAAGTCACAACGTTAAGTTTTTAAGGTGCATTAAATTTTTTGAGAAAAAGATGTTTCAAGTCTTGAAGTCAATTTGTAACGCATGGCAAATCACATACGAAATAGCAAACTATAGTTTTACTTACTATAGTCATCATTACTGCTATTATTATGAAGAGAAGAGAAATCCACAAACTAAAGATGATTAAGAAGAAGTAAGAAAAATTAGCAAAAGACTTGTGCTGTGCAATTTAATTATTCATGAGTCGCGTGCGTAATTTACAAGTTATTAAAAATAATAAAAAAAATAGAAAGAAAAGAAATTTTATACGCTTAAGACTGTTCAAATTTATTTGATATAACATTGATGGATAAGAAAGTTTTAAATGTTTAATATGAAATCTTGTATTTTTCTCTGAATCTTCATTCAGGACATCTCTCATGTCAACTAGTTTCATTCAATTTCTAAACGTATTAGAACAAAATAGCTTAGCTTGGTCAGCCAAGCTTATGAAAACATTATATAGAATTTTTGGTGATTTTAACATGTCGCTCAGAATCAAGACCTTATTTTCATGTCTAATGCATATGATTTGAAAAAGCTTTAAAAATGAGTTTGCGAAATACTTCCTAAAATCAATACAAATCGCATTTAAAACAAATATCGCTCAGATTTTATAAGAATAGAACAATTTTGTTGTGTTAGTGATGTTTAAAAACAATTTTAATGACAGACGAGAACGAGTAGTTGGACTAACATTGAACAATAAAAAGCTTTATTTTACGATCAAAAACATTAAAATCATCTTCGTGTGATATGTACAAAAAAGTTTTACTCTGATCTAAACAGTTCTCTTTTAAGAGCAATATCATTAAATTTTTTATACAGTGACAAACTCAGAAGCTTTGGATGTGAGTTACTATTTTACTTTGACAAACAAATAATTTTTTCTCCAATTTATTAAATTTTCTGTTCGCTACTTTTTTGTTTTGTTTTCTTCTTACTTCTACACGTATGTGTTCTTTATTCGTCTCCATTATTAAGTTTTTACTGTCGAACAATATATCACGCAACATGTATGTACATGTATACAATGAAAAAAGAAACAATTTCGAGTAGATCATAATCAATCTTGATGATCTCTTTTTTCTTTGTCTTCTTCTTTTTCCAAAACTTTAACATTTTCATCTTCTTTTTCACGTATGAATGTTGACGTTAACCGACTAACTCCACCCTAATTATTCATCACGATTGGCTGATTTTTTCCCGTGCTTTACCTTCTTCTTCGTCTCTCTTTTTCTCTCACCCACTTCACATTTATCTTATCTTACTTCTTTTATTTTTAGCTCTTTGATTAGCTATTGTATACTATATAACCATATCTTCTGTATGCGTGTAGTTTATATTCAAAATTACCCCTCTTTTAATACATCAAGTTTTATTTCTTTTGCCTAACTATATGATCTTAAACATTTTCTCCTTTTTTAATTATTCTCAATTTTATGCATGAAAATCTTCTTCTTATTAAAGTTTTCTGAAAGATATCAATTTTTAGAAGATATGAATAAAACAAATAATGTTAGCAAAAAAAAATAATGAAATCATCAATAAAATTCAGCATAGAATAAAAACGCAGGTAAATTAAATGATCGTAAATTCAAAATGTAAATAGACAGACGTGTAACTTCCTTTAAAAAAGAAAAACTCGCTGCTCTGATGTCATTCACTTTTTTCTTTTGCATATACTTTATACGCGCGCGATCGTTCAAAATATCGCACCTGTTACGCTCCTGTTTATTTTAATATAGAAAAAAAAAATTAAAATTGTAAAACTTTTGTGGATGTTTGATTGTTTTTGTATTTAATTTTAAGTGTATTAGTGAATAAGCAACAATTTGTTGATCAGGCTGTAATATAAACTTACTCATTCCATCACATGCACACTATCTGAATAACGAAGCACAATCGCGCACACCTTCACAATATTTTAGTTCAGGAATGAAGAAGTGAACAAAAAATTGAGCAAGAAGTTGAATGAGAATGGTCGGCAAGCGGCAGTTTTGTACGAGGCCTTAAGTCGATAGCACGGAACAGTGAATTTGAGCTTCGAAAATTTAATTAAGAATAAGCTAAAATTTTAATAATTTATTCATTTTTAAGAAATTTAGAAAACAAGTGCAACTAATAGATAAATTAAAAAGTTAAACCTTAAACAATAAAAAATATGATAATATCATAGAAAAAAAAATTGCAAAATATTTATTTTTAAAATCAACCAATGGGCTTGAATTTGTGAGTTTTGTGTAAAAAGTGCGATAATTTATTAGAACTGGATTCACAAAAGTTGAGAGTTTGAGCAAAAGTAAACTAAATCTTAATTTTAATCATTTTTTGCAACATACAAATAAAAATTTTATTTCAACAAATTTTACAAATAAATCAACTAAAACTTTTACCTTTATCCAGCAAACTTTTTGAACTCGTTTGAAATGAATGTTAATTTTAGACATCCTGACTTGTGTTTAAATTAATCTAAAAAATAAATTTTGTTCAATACCAAATAAAAATAAAATAAAAATTTTTAAAAGCTGTGTTCAGTGTTAAAGCTCAAATCTATTCTAAAAAAGGAGAAAGATTTCAATTAGTGAAAGAAACTGAAACTGCACAAAAAAGAAATTTCTTGAATCTTAACAATTTGAAATAAAATAATTTTGATCATTCTAAATAATTGAAAAGGTTTCAATTTCTAATTGAATTAAATTAAAAATGTCATTTACCTTTTTCTAAAGAAGAAAAGTCATCGTGAACTTGACCATCAAAATTTAAATGAATTTTCTCACGAAATTACTTTTTTCACAAGCGTCTGCTAGCATATCTTTCTATTATTTAATATTATTTCATTTTGGATGTATCTTAATTCAAAAATAATTATGTAAGAAAGATGTCAATATGTTCACTTTTATAGAAGCAAATAGTCATGAAACCTCTTGCCGAGCTACTTTTTGTTATCAATTATTATATGAAAGTGAGAAAGGATCAATAAGAAGTTTAATTGCAATTTCACGCGGTTCTTCGCTTTTATTTTCAATACAAGCTAAGGAAATACAAGCAATACTTCCACAATTTGATAGAACCATGGCTGATTTTTTTTTAATTTTCAACAAAAAATAGTTGAATAAAGAAGAATTTAAAACAGCTTGTGTTGTTATACATGAGTCATTCAGTTTTATTTTTTTCATTTTTTTTGTTAATTTTAATTTATTTTTTCGACTTTTTTTAATTCTCTTGCTTTGGACGATGATTTGTTATTTTTGGATTATTTCTGCTCAAAACTACTCATAAATTAAAAAAAATATTAATAATCTTGTTCCTTTAAAAAAAATAAAGAATTTTTTAAATATTTTAGAATGTCAAATTCAAATAAAACCAAGTGAAATGACAAGTGACTAACAATAATAACTAAGCATAAACATTATAGTGAGTGAATATAAAACTACAATTTAATTGAAAATTTAATCAAAACTTCAAGATTTACAAATAAATGATCAGCATGGAATTACAACCGGCTGTACATATGCAGCATTTAAATCATGGTCATCAACAGCATCATGCAGATTTAAATGTTTATCAACATCAAATGACAAATATCTCAACATCAAATGGTGATGACAAAAATAAAAGTAAGCATCAAATCTTTGATTTTATCAATTTTTAAGTCTTTAATAAGTCTAAAGTAAAATTAAATGATTTAAGTAGGTCTGAGAAAATCTTGGAGTGAAAATAAGACAGATGTTTTCAGATTAAAGTTTTAATCTTTAAGACAAAATTTGTTCGATAAAAATTTAAGAATTCAAATACTTTGATAATCAGCTCGAATTGCTTCAAAACCACTCATAATCACGTTGAAATTTCTTAATAGGATTAAAACTGTCTTCTTCAATTTTATTTCCTTTCTTCTGAGTAATCCTATCTAAAGTGATTATTATTTTCAAAAATACTTAATAAGTTTATAATAAATTTTTCTGAAAGGTTGCAGCAGAAGTTAGTATATTTAACAAAATTTTTGAAAGAATAGTTTTAACTTCAGTTTGCATAAATTATTAAGAAACTAAAATTAAGTTAAACATAAAAAGTGGAAAAATAAAAATTCATCAACTTCTTTCTTCATTATCTAAAATTCCTTCAATTCCGTTAAAAAGGCATAAGAGGCAAAGAATATTCGAATATGTAGCGCGCATCCTTTTAAATAAAATTTTATATTTTCATAAATAAAATATAAAAAAAACGTAAATTTTAATGACCATCGACAACAAACTTCAACATGCGACAATCGAGCGGGAATTTCCTTGGAAGTTGAATGGCATGCACAAGAAAAGAAGAAAGAAGGAAGTGCGAAAAGTTCAATGTTTGGGGTTCCCTCTGTCGCTGCTACCAGTTGTAGATTATCTAAACGTCCTTATAAAAGAAAAATGTATAAAGGAAGGTGAAATAAAATGATGAGAGACCATCTGGTGCTTCTCAATGACTCGATATCGTTAAACAATTTTGTATCAGAAATGCCGATGAACCTGTTGCCCGCTCAGGGGTTGAAAGAAATTGTTAACTGACTTTAATTATACATACAGGAACAACAAAAACATTCAACGGTTTTCGTTCCTTTTCTTTTACTTTTAAAGTGCGCACGAGAGGGCAATAATTTTCAGTTCCTGCAGGGCGTAATGACTGGCGTATTACAAATTTTTTTTTTCTCATTAAATTCTTTCTTGTAATATTTGAATTGATGAAACAGGTGGAATTCTTCTCACTTTCCTACTTTTTCTTCGTCCTTATATTCTTAATAGTCTCAAATTTATACTATTTCATTCTAAACAATTTCTAATCTATAAATACTTTCAAATTTTTTTACTGTGGACAGCTCCTGTAAATTTTTCGATTATTAAAATTTCATCAATAAACAATAAGCTTAGGTAGGAGCTTTTTTCAATCAAACTGAGCAATGCACGTGAAAGAATCAATTCAAAAAAAAAGAGAAACTATGATTCTTTTAACAAATTTTTTTAAATTAAATTTTTAGTGAATAATTAATCAGATATAAAATTTAAAATTCATTAAATGAAAAAAGGAACATCAAACAAAGTTTAACAATTTACAGTCAGACGTTAATTTACTGCACATACTTAAACATTAATTTCAAACAGAGAAGTCATAATAAGAAGAAAAAAATTAAGAATGCATGTGTAATTAAAGAGGAAGACAATTCCGTTGACTCACCCCCTTAAGAAAATAAAAAACAAAGAAATTACTTTGTTTTTTTCGTATATTTTATAATAAAAATTTAAATTTTTAAAGTTTCAACTTGTTTGGGGTCACCTAAAAATGACTGGCATGCATGCTTTGCAGTTATTTTCCTGCCAAGTGTCTTTTTATTAATGTTAATGCTATTATTGTTCTTTTTTTCTTTCCTTTTCCTCAATTTTTTTCTGTTGATATTTTTTTTATTCCTTGTGACTTTAAGAGAAAAAATAAGAGGAACAGAAATAAGAAAACAATAGGAATGAGGTCGCATAATTTATTTTCAACGGAAATTTTCCTCAATTATTTCTTAAAACATCAAGAATATTATCCTTTTTCATCTTATACGAAAAAAGAAAAGTCAAATTTTGTATCCAAATTTTAATAGAAAAAAATTGGGTTTTGATAGACATATTTTTATTTTTGTTTGTTTTTTCTCAATCCTGTGTATATAGATGACTCCCATAACAACCAACAAGGTGGCATGTCTGGAGAAGGTAAGTTCACTATTAATAACTTTTCAAAATAATTGTCACTAAAAAGAGTGAATTTCATTAGGTAAAAAAATAGAAACATTTTAAAACTTTATTGCATAAAAACAATTTTCTAAGCAAAATGGAAATTTCTTTATCAATCAATTATCATCAGCAAACAGTAGCAGTTTATAAAAATCAAAGCAGAAGGAAAAATTTCTTATTTTGAGGCAATCACGCTTTCAAAAAAATTAATCACAAAATTACCCACCAATCGTCTCATTATTTGAGCTTTTTTAGTGCAACTGCTGCTGTTACTTTTACAGATTTTGCCTTATTGTTTATTTGCGACTAGATGTGGAGCAAAAGTAAATTATAGAGAAAAAAATTCAAAAGCAGGTAGTTTGCAATTGATGTCTAAACGATCGAAAGTTTTCTTTCATATTTCTTTTGCCACATTTCCTTAGATTTCATACAAAAAGTCTGCTAGAGATTGTTCAATCGAGTAGAACGACTAGTTCATTTTCTTGTTAAAATCGTCTGAAAAACACAATTTAAATATGTAGTCTTTTGAATATAAAGCTAACTTAACTTAAGGCACACTCGTTTGGTAAAATTTAATATCCAGGGTTTTCATCCCGGTTCAAATTTTCAATCCCGGGATTGTATTTTGTTTGAAAAAAATGACAACAAGATTAGAATTTGACTGAATAAATGAATTCATTTTTCTTTTTAAAAACACTCAACAAGCATTAGCAACAGATCATTAGCTTTTAATAAACTTTTAATAAAAATTTCAATTTTTTAAGTATTTCTATGCCAGAGCTTGTAAAGAGCTAAAAAAATTATCAACGAAACTTTTCATTTTCAAATTCAAATCCCAAAAAGTGTTAAGATTGTTACTCAAACATAAAATTTATCCTGAATGAAAAAGTCTTCAGTTTAACTGCACCATAAATAAATTCAATTTGTTTTAATTCTTATAAATATCAATAAATTGATTAAGTAAACTAGATTCAAAGTAACATATCCAAAAAGATGTTAACTAGAAATGACCATAAATTAGTGAACGTAAGGCTCTCCGTCTGAAAATGTAATAAATTTGTCAAAAATCAGAATGTCAAGTAAATATAAAAATTTTCAATACATTTTTTTTTTCTATTAAAATCAAAATATTGTGTTTTGCTAAGATATTTTATTAAATATTTGAAAACCCTTGAAATTGAATCCTCTTCTAATCCCGGGATTACGGGACTAAAAATATGCCGGGATAACGGGATTGAAAACTCTAGTAATATCTAAAACTGGATGCTAAAGCTATTAAAAGTATTCTATAATTTTATGATAGAAGAAATCAGCGTAATTTTAGCACATTACCACTCAATAATGTATGCCCATAATTAATTGCTTTACATTTAAGCGCTAAAATTACCAGATTTTTTCAAACATGAATTTAGAGAGAAAAGGGGGGAAGAAGAAGGGGAGGGGTCAAAACATAATAATAATTAAATGGTGTTCAATTAACTTTACATGTTGAAGTCCTTAAGGGTGATTAGATTTATGCAAAATTATGGCATTTTTATAAAGCTGTAAGTTATTTTAAAACTGAAACTTAATAATTTGTTCATCTTTTTTTATTCTTATAATTATTTTTAATTGAAATCCTTATGCTCATCCAGAACATATTATACGATTAATATTTTTAGTACATATACGTTAATGATTGCTTCATAATATGTTATATCTACGTCATAAGCAGCTTCATAAAATGTTTATTTCCATTTTTAAAAGCTAGCTTAAACCATCATCAGGTTTGTCAGTTTGAGATCAAGTATAATTAGTAAATAAATAAATTACAATTACTTCAAATGTTTGTTGCGATATTCTATCATTAAAAACAAGCAAATTTTAAATTGCCCCTGCTCAATCTCATCGGCGAATTTATTCATTTTTATGAGTAGATTTAAATAAAAATCTACTGACTTTTCGTTAAAAATGTAATAACATATTAAACAAGGAACATAAAAAATACTAACACAAATAAGAGACAAAAGTTTAAGAACTTCCCATGTCAAGAAGTTTTTTAATTATATTCCGCGTGTCTCTGTTTCTTTGAGAACATTTTGAAAGCGAAAACTGACCCGCACTAGTTATATAAACCCATCATCTTCGCTCTGAATACTCTCATTTCATTTTCATTACCAATTTTATGGAAATTCACAGAATTGTTTCCAGAAATGGGAAAAACGAAGCTAGTGTACTAGTGTGCTGGCTTTTATCTTCAGATTCTTCTTTTCTTCCATGTATATCAACTTACACACTATTCACTATTGCCAATGGCCTTGAACTGCCGTGAATATTCCGAGTAACTTTATGCTAATTTCTTGTCGTCATTGTTGTGTTGTTAAACGTCTCTTTATCAGCGAAATTAAAACTGTCATTTTTTTCTTTGCTATTCACATTTTTCTGACTAGTTTTAATGTCTGCTCAATCAAACAGAAAATATTTTAATTTTTTAATTTATATTTTTTTATAAATAAATCCGTTTAATTAAAGGACTAAAGTATCATTTCTCGACAAACTGTTTTTAAAGTTCAAAGATATAACTTGTTGAAACATTTCTGCCACTTTTATTCACGATATAACACAATTTGTATAATATTGCACAATTTTGATATTGCACACAAATTTGAAAATTAACTCGGATTAATTCTCAATAATTCTATAATCTAATCTTTGGGTGGTAAATAGTGTCATGCATTTTATATATATAGAAGTTCGGTTGTATTTTCATATATTTTCATACATATAAAGAACCTCAACTAGTACATTCAGAACTTGATAAATTCATTTTACATTTAATTGAGAATTTTATTTTAAAATGACAAAAAAAAATTTTTGAAAAACAATTGTGTGAACTTTTCTCAAGCTTTAATACCCGACGGCATATTAAGTGCCGGCTATGTCTGAACACCAAGTTTAAATCTCCGTGTATTTATGTGTGTGAACGGCTTGTAGTCATGTTAAAGCGGAAGAAGACACATTTTTTTTATTTTTTATTTTATTTTCAATGCAATTTTTCCATCATCATTCTATTTATAGAGAACTAATGATGGAGCATCTTGTGCAAAATCACAGTACATTTATAGTATTCACAACTTTATTATACATCGAGTAAATTCAGAAAATGTCACAACTCTAGGGATTTTGGGAATTGACATTAATCTACAACTTTCATTGTAACGAGTTTATAAAATTGCATTTGGAAGATTTTGAATACAATGTTTAATAAAAGAAGTTACCACCCTCACTAGCTATTCGATTATTATAATATCATTTGAATAATAGCTTGTAAGGGAAAAAATAACAGCTTAAGGGTATATTTTGATCAATTAATCATCAATATTGAGAAAACTTGTCATATTTTTAATTGTTATTGCTCCAAAATTTAAAAAAAATTTTACAGATGTATTTTAAAGCTTGCAGTATGGCATATTAAATACGTTTCTTTTAGCATAATACAATAAAATTCATTTTCCTTCCACACCTATCTTCAACATGAATAAATATCCAAACAATTTTTCATTTTCCTCTTAAACAGTACGTAAATAAATGAAAAATAAATTCAACAAAAGCGAGAGGAAAATTTTTCGAATGTCACAAAAGAATTGAAAATTTTTAATTCCGTAAAGTAAAAAAGAACGGCAGTAGCAGTTTATTTTCTCTGCTCATACACACATTTTTTTTCTTTTCAGTTCTGTTCTATTCGGAGAATTTTTTGCCAATGATATATTTCACGGTACAGTGATTCTGAAACCAATTCAGCCAAAAATATGCTTCACTTTTTTTAATACTTCTCGTTCGTATTCTCTCTCTTTATTTTTGATTATAACATTTTATGGTGATATAAAGTTGAAAACAGATACATACACACAAAGGGGAAATTTAACATGAAGCAGTGAAATGAGGGCTTTGCACTTGTTTTTTGATACTTTATTCTCTAAAATTATATGGTTTGATTTGTAGAAAGAATAACTAAATTTGGGTAAATTTCAGGTAAGTTTAAAATTTTTAACGATATTCCTATAGAGATAAAAAAATACGTCAGTCTAAGCATTTTCAAATCAAAATACAGAGAACATTTATACATTCAGCAATTATGGAATGAAACATGAATATAAATATTACTTTTTTTCACGAATTAAAATATATAAAAATAAGAGTATTGAACAGTTGTAAAACTAAAATACATAAATGAATCAATAAAATTTAAAAAAAAAAAATAAGTTCTAAAACATGAGTAAAAATCATAATATAAATGTCGATCTGCTACCCTTTACAGCACATGTTGCCTAAAAGGTAACTTAGGAATACACTTTTTTGGCTGTGTGGCAGGCACATTAAACGGACTTGAAACAGTGTATACTAAATTGTTTTATCCACAGTGTATTGCATTCAGGATAAGAGAATCACAAATGAAGTAATAATCGACAATTTTGAAGATTTCAACTCTAGTCCAAATATTCTAAAGAAGTTCAAAGTATCAGATGATTACTAAGTAACGTTAATTTTCACAAAATTTCACATCTTTAGCAGAGAGAAATAACTTTCTACGAGGTTTTTTATTTATGCAGTTCAGTAATAAAATTTACATAAAAGTGCACCCTAAGGGAAATCATCGGTACGAACATTTTTCAAAATATTATGGGTTTTTTAAAAGGGAGAACCAAGTCGTGACTTTCATGTTATTTTGTAAGTTAAGCAATAAAAATGATCGAAAGTTATTTTTTTTTTATATTGAAAGTGAAATGCAAAACTCTTCTGGTTCTCATAGTAAACTAGTTGGTGAAGAAAATTCCCATATAATTATGTAAAAAAATCCATTGTGCTGAAAAAAGTCTGGTCGCAAAATCTAAGCATTATTCAGTGGCATTTGATGTTCTACGTATATTTCATTAGCCACACACAATGAACATGAAAACTTATATTGTAGTCAAACCAGAAAAATCAATCATCAAAAAGCT